TTGTTCTGCAGTGGGCATTGTGCCACCCCGAACCAAATCCCCGACGGAGGAGGAGGTGGTGCCCACAACAGGGATGCTGAGGAGGAGTGCCAGTGGCATGGCCAACGGGCTGGGCTCCCGGGTAGGGGCTGCTGCAGGGGGCTGGGCAGGGTGGGCAGTGCCAGGGGCTGGGCTGGCAGCTGGGGGCTCAGCAGTGCTGTCTGGAGAGGAGGGGGAACACATCTCTGTGTCTCAGCACTCGGCTGGGAGACACCCAAAAGTTTGGGTGTCCCAGGAGCAGGCTGAGCGCAGCAGCCCTCTGCAGAGTGATGCAGTACAGGTGGATGGGGTTGGATCCTGTTCCATTTGGGGGGGGTGTGACAATGGGGTTGGGCTCTCCCCAGGAGAGACCGAAGAGCGCTGTGTTTGCCAACGAGACAAAGGTGAAGATGAGCGTGGAGGAGCAGATTGACCGCATGAAACGCCACCAAAGTGGCTCCATGAAGGAGAAGCGGCGCAGCCTGCAGCTGCCTGGCAGCCAGCAGCCAGAAACCCCTGGCACGAAGGCACCCGCCTCATACAAAGTGGTGAGTCCCTGCACCCACACAGCTGGGTGCAAAGCAGGATTGGCTTTGTGGGGTGGGCTGAGGTCCCTGAAGGAGTAGAAGGGGCACTCGGGGCTGTGGCAGGGCACTGTTTGCTGGGTGTGGGGGCTCAGCAGGGCTGGGGTTCCCATAGGTGCGCCGGCACCGCAGCATCCATGAGGTGGACATCTCTGACCTGGAGGCAGCGCTGCGGTCTGATGAACCTGGCAAGGTGCACGAAACACCCCGAGAGGAGATCGCACGGCTGCGCAAAATGGAGCTGGAGCCACAGCACTACGATGTGGACATCAACAAGGAGGTGAGGACAGGAGCTCCGTGGAGATGTGGGCACGGGGTATATCCCCTTTGCTGGAGGATCAATCCAGCCTCTGCACTGTGTGGGGCTCTGGTGCTGGAGTGAGTGCTGCTTCCATGCCTGTGTCTGGTGTAGTGGGAGCTGGGAGTGGTTGTGTAGGGAATGTGTGTGCTGGGGAGGGGATGGGACCCTGCTGAGCAGTGCTCAGCTCAGCCCTGCACCCAGCTCTCCACGCCGGACAAAGTCCTCATCCCTGAGCGGTACATCGAGCTGGAGCCTGACACACCACTCAGCCCCGAAGAAATGAAGGAGAAGCAAAAGAAGGTGGAAAGGATAAAAACCCTCATTGCCAAGTCCAGGTGAGGTGCAACGCCCACAGTGTGCACCCCAACCCCAGCACCCCTGTGCATCCCCCTGAGCCAGCGCTGTCCCTGCAGCCTGCAGAATGTCATCCCCCTGGGTGAGGGTGAAGTGGACACTCCCCAGGACCCCGAAACACAGCTGCAGGAGCAAGAGAAGAGGATAGAGATCTCATGTGCTCTGGCTGCTGAGGCATCCCGCCGGGGCCGCATGCTATCAGGTAAGGCATGGAGGGATACAGAGGGTCCAGGGCGCCCACCCACTGCCTGCCAGCCCTCCAGGAGAGGGACTGCAGGTACCAGATGGGCAGGAGGAATTGCTGCAGTGTGGAACAAGCAGATTCAGTGAGTGGGTGATGGACCAGACAGGCAACAAAGGAACAGGGGCTGTGCACACAGAGAGCATCCTGCATTGCTGTAAGGCAGCACCGTGCAGCAGCCAAGCCAGGTGATGCTTGCAGCTGCCAGGACAGCAGCACCGAGCATTGCAGAATAGAATGCTCACCATCAAAATCTGCCTACCCCACATCCAAGGGAAGGAACCCAACTCAGGGATGAGGAAGCACTGACCATGTCCAGTGGTGGCACACAGTGCCCACAGCCTTGTCCAGGAGGAGCCCTCTGGGAGCTCACGTGTGCGTGCTGCAGCCGGGCAGTGGCTGCTCGCCCTGCTTCCTCCCTTCCTTCCTCTTGGTTTCCTCCCCTTGCTAACCTGCCCGCTGTGCTGCCTCCTCCCCTCTTGCTGCTCTCAGCTTGTGTTCTTCATGCCCTTCTCCCATTTCTTGTTTCCAGCTCAATGCACTACCCCAAGCCCTCCCACCTCCCCAGCTTCCCCGACTCCACCGACCAACCCCCTCTCGTCTGAACCATCCCGGGTCGCCGACTGCAGCCATTTTATGCGTGTCTGAGCCATGAAGTAAGCACCTTTTCTCTTGTACTTCATCCCATCTTCTCCACCCAGGGATGGGTGGGGGGTGCCACTCCCCCCGATGTCTTTTCCACCCGGCCTCCATCCATCACTGCTTGCTCCAGCTAACACCTCCGAGCCACGTCAGCCCCGTCTCCTCCTATGGAACAAGTGCAGTGTCCTCTGTGGTGTGGGATCCAGCCAGGGACCCCGGTGTGGGCATGGGGCTGAGCTGGCTGCTGCCCCCCAGGAGGTGTTGTTCCCCAGGAGGTGCTGGACGTGGGTTTGAGTCTGTGGGGTTTTACTCCAGGCTGCTCAGTGGGCATCTGTAGGGATCACAGCACTCAGCTCTGCTCCTCTCCCTCCAGCTCAAGCCCTGGCAGCCGCTGGTGCCATCAAGTCTCATGGGGCCACGTTCTAGTGCAGCACTACGTGCGCCCTGGCTCGACACTGACCCTCTCTGCGCCATCGTTTTTGGTTCTCCTGGACCCCCTCCCTCCTTCCCATCGATGGCATCACCATCGGGATGGATGAGTGGGGAGATGCAGCCCCAACGCTCTGCCCCATCCTGGAGGAGCAGATGCCACAAGTCCCCAAGGACTGGGGCCACCGAGCTTCCACCCAGCACTGGGACACAGCTGTGTTGTCCTGGGTGCGTGGAGGGACGCGTGCAGCTGGGACAGCCCTGGAGGAGTGCAGCATCCCTCAGCTCTCCGTGCGTTGGTCACACAAAGGGGACCGTCTGCACTATGGATGGTGCATTCTCCACGTGCATCTGTGCTCCTGGCTGTGCCCTGAAAGCTTTCAGCACCTTGCTGGAGGGAGGTGCCAGCCCCATCGTGGCTGCAACGGGAACAGGGTGCACGGAGAGGAACACACAGGTGTCCTGAGGGCCAGGATGATGAGGGCTGCCCAGCACAGAGCCACGGAGCAGCAGGTGCAGGCAGGGACAGGGGATGTGGGGAAGGAGCAGATGAACGGAGAAGAGTCGATGGGCCAAGCAGCAATCTGCAGGATGGATGGGGATGGTGACAAGGAAGGGACCGGGCTGGAGCCGTGAATGCATCCAGGTGGTAGCAATGCTTTGCTCATGGTCACCTCTATCACAGCCCAGGTGACCCAGCAGGATTTCCATAGGACTGCACACATCCAGCACTCCCTGGTCAGCCCTCTGTGCTGGAGGAGGGATTCCTTCTCCCGGAGCACCGGGGATGGATGTGGGGACAGGAGGGGACATCTCAGCTGCGCAGCATGGACTGAATCCCTCCAGTCTCACCACACAGCCTCGCCATTGCACTCCAACCACATCAGCTTGGTCATTTCTCCTCCTGCAAGCCTTTATTTCATTTTATTTTCGCTTTCCAAACGGAGGGAAAAACGCTGTTTCTGCCTGAAAACACAGCACCATATGTGGGGGGGGTGGGGGGCAGAGGTGGGGGGTGGGTGGTGTCCCCATGGCCAAATCCTGATGTGTGCCCCCTCTGCATCCCAATCCCCCCCCCCCCCCCACTCTTAGCAATACTCATAGCATCCCAGGAACCCCCCTCCCCCTCCTCCTGCAGCCCCCTTAGCTCATAAAGCTGGCCCTTTATTTTGCTATTACATGCCTTAATATATGTTTTATGGAGAATTATACATTTATTATATATATATATATATAATATATATATATATATGGGGTTTGGTTTTTTTTTCTCTTCTTTTCTGGGAGGTAGTTTTGTGCTGATCTCTCCGCAGGGCTGTCGGCACAACAAGAGCAGATTCTTTGCCAGTTTATCAGAAAATAAAAAATTAAAAATTAAAAAAAAATAAAATAAAATAAAATAAAAAAAACTATTTAAAAAAAAAACCAATATATATATATATATATATACACATATATTTTTTTCTGCTTTTATGAAAAGCAAATTTATTTAAAAATAAAATACATATATATATGTAAAGAGACTGTAAGGTGGAAGAGGTGACGCCTTTATTTCCCCAGCTGGGGGGCGCACAGGGCAGAGCCCTTTGTGCAGGGGGGGTTGGCTGGGGGGCAATGGGCCTCTCCCATGGCTGGAGGAGATGGGAACC